AGTAACGTGTGTGGTTGTGTAGTGACGTGTGTGGTTGTGTGGTGACGTGTGTGGTTGTGTAGTGACGTGTGTCGTGTGAACATATGTGGTTGTGTAGTGATGTGTGTCGTAGTGTAGTGACGTGTATGGTTGTGTAGTGATGTGTGTCGTAGTGTAGTGACGTGTGTGGTTGTGTAGTGATGTGTGTCGTAGTGTAGTGACGTGTGTGGTTGTGTAGTGATGTGTCGTGGTGTAGTGACATATGTGGTTGTGTAGTGATGTGTGTCGTAGTGTAGTGACATATGTGGTTGTGTAGTGATGTGTGTCGTAGTGTAGTAATGTGTGGCTGTTTAGTGACGTGTGTGGTTGTGTAGTGACGTGTGTGGTTGTGTAGTGATGTGTGTCGTAGTGTAGTGACGTGTGTGGTTGTGTAGTGATGTGTGTCGTAGTGTAGTGACATATGTGGTTGTGTAGTGATGTGTGTCGTAGTGTAGTAACGTGTGTGGCTGTTTAGTGACGTGTGTGGTTGTGTAGTGACGTGTGTGGTTGTGTAGTGACGTGTGTGGTTGTGCAGTGATGTGTGTGGTTGTGCAGTGATGTGTGTGTGTGTGTGTGTAATAATAATAATAATAATAATAAACGGTTTATTAATAGAGTTGCAGCCGGTGGCTGAAAATATACAGACTTACAATTGATTTAGACAAAATGATATAATATGCATTGAATACATTTACAGGGCTGTACAGTACATAAATCAGGAGGTGTTTATTATTTTAACAATAGATGGGATGGTGCTGTTCTTGTATCTATCGGTGCGGGCTCTTATGGGCTGATTGTTGTAGTGGCGGACTGCGCGAGTTGGGTGGGGGGCTGCAGGTGGCAGGAGGTGGCGATGGCGAGGGTGGTGCAGTAGTCCCGACCTTTCCAGTGCTTGGTGGTGTAGGTCACTTTGGGATGGCATTTCCAGGGTGGAAGAGCCTGGTGTAGCCGAGTATTCTGCGCCGAGCATGATTCTGCAGGCCTTTCTGTACCTTCTCTAGCCGACGTTTTTGGGTGGAGTTGAGAGAAACGACCAGGCTGGTGACGCATACGTTAGTTTGGGGAGAATAAAGGCGTTGTAGATGGTCCTCAGCTCTGGCGTGGGTGTCCCAAGTGACCTAAGTCGTCGCAGCATGTAGAGACGGTACAGGCTGCCTTGACTGTGTTATTTACATGGGCCTTCCAGTCCAGTTTGTTGTCTATAGTTACACCCAGGAGTTTGGCAGACACCAGCTGGAAGGATGGGCACCCACTGTGACTGCTGGGGCTTGCCTGGAGTGGTGGCGGTATTGATGTTCATGACTACGGTTTTAGTGTGGTTGATGGTGACCTTGTTCTCAGTAGTCCATGCCTGTAGCCTGTCCAGGGTGCCTTGGAGCGATAGGTAGTCTGGTGCGGTGTTGTCCACTGAAACCCCCACAGTGCAGTCATCCACGTACTTCCACCTGTGAGAGTGTCGATAGAGCGTCGTTGATCAGGATGAGGAAGCACAGTGGTCCCATCTTGGTCCTGGGGAACACCGCAGGTGAGGTGTTGGAATGTAGAGACCAAGCCTGATACCTCACTGCTTGGCGACGTCCACTCAAGAAATCAGTGAGCCATGAGACCAGGTGTGTGTGTGTGTGTGTGTGTGTGTGTGTGTGTGTGTGTGTAAGATTGTCGCACCACCAACAAGTATCATCAAACTTTTGAACTATCCTGTGGATGTTGGTCGAGGAGTGGCACTAATGTGGTGTATGGCACTCTGGCCTCCCTGGCACTCTGGCCTCCTGCTGGCACTCTGGCCTTCTGCTGGCACTCTGGCCTCCTGCTGGCACTCTGGCCCTCCTGCCTGGCCTCCTGGCCCTCCTGGCTGGCACTCTGGCCCTCCTGCTGGCACTCTGGCCTCCTGCTGGCACTCTGGCCTTCCCTGCTGGCACTCTGGCCTCCTGTTGGCACTCTGGCCCTCCTGCACTCTGGCCCTCCTCCTGGCACTCTGGCCCCTCTGCTGGCCTCTGGCCCTCCTGCTGGCCTGGCCCTCCTGTTGGCCTCTGGCCCTCCTGCTGGCCTCTGGCCCTCCTCCTGGCACTCTGGCCCTCCTGCTGCACTCTGGCCCTCCTGCTGGCACTTCCTGCCCCTCCTGTTGGCACTCTGGCCTCCTGCTGGCACTCTGGTCTTCTATCTATCTATTTATTTATTGTTAAGGCGGTGATCTTTGTAAATGGAGTAAAAAATAAAGAAATTGTAGATTTAATGTCGACACACACACACACACACACACACACACACACACACGGAGACAGACATAGAGAGAAAAAGAGAGAGAGTGAGTGAGAGCACCTCCTCCCTCTTCCTCCTCCTGCCAACAGGTTCAGTAAACGGTTTAGAGTTTTTCTTCAATCGCCAATATTTCACAACGTTTAAAGAAAGTGGTACCGTAAACCTAGTTAAAACCCTCTGGCCTGGCCCCATCTGGCTATCCGGCCCCGTCCATTTCCCTCCACCACCCGGCCAACCCATGCAGCTAGATGGCTCCATTCCCTATCAATTCCGGCCCATGATGTTAACTGTTTTGGGGTTGAGTTGATAAGATAAAAGATACTGAAACCCCAACACCTGCTGTACACTTTATACCCCACACCTGCTGTACACTTTAAACCCCACACCTCACACTTATACCCCACACCTGCTGCACACTTTATACCCACACCTGCTGTACACTTTATACCCCACACCTGCTGTACACTTTAAACCCCACACCTGCTGTACACTTTATACCCCACACCTGCTGTACACTTTATACCCCACACCAGCTTTACACTTTATACCCCACACCTGCTGTACACTATACCCCACACCTGCTGTACACTTTATACCCCACACCAGCTTTACACTTTATACCCCACACCTGCTGTACACTATACCCCACACCTGCTGTACACTTTATACCCCACACCAGCTTTACACTTTATACCCCACACCTGCTGTACACTATACCCCACACCTGCTGTACACTTTATACCCCACACCAGCTTTACACTTTATACCCCACACCTGCTGTACACTTTTTTACCCCACGTAAGTAACTCTACGTCACCAAGATGCCAGATTTGACTTACTTGGTGTATGACAGAGTAATAATAATAATAATAATAATAATAATAATAATAATAATAATAATAATAATAATAATAATAATAAACGGTTTATTGAAAAAGTTTGCAGCCCGAAGGCTGAAAATATACATTGGACATAAATGACTTATTACAAACATTGGTGGTTTAACAAAAGCCTTCATTAGAGAAAGGTGAAGGAACATACAGTGAACATACAGATTAATGTTTACACACATAGATCATGTGAGCTGAGGTGTTGAACAGCAGACACGTAGTGTAGTAACTCCCTCACAGATGGCGTTATGAGGGGCATCACGTGGAGTACTAGTTCCCTCACAGGTGGTGTTGTGAGGGGCTTGACGTGATGTAGTAATTCCCTCACAGATGGTGTATGAGGGGCCTGATGTGGTGTAGTAATTCCCTCACAGATGGTGTTATGCGGGGCCTGATGTGGTGTAGTAATTCCCTCACAGATGGTGTATGAGGGGCCTGATGTGGTGTAGTAATTCCCTCACAGATGGTGTTATGCGGGGCCTGATGTGGTGTAGTAATTCCCTCACAGATGGTGTTATGCGGGGCCTGATGTGGTGTAGTAATTCCCTCACAGATGGTGGATGAGGGGCCTGATGTGGTGTAGTAATTCCCTCACAGATGGTGTTATGAGGAACCTCACATGATGCTGTAGCAACTCATTCACTTCGTGGTGTCGTAGCATCATGGGGACACCATGTAGTCTGTTGTCACAGGACTTCACTCACTCAAGTGGGTGAGGTGTGGTCCCAGGCCTCTCTATCGTGGAGTCTCAGGGGAATTATCACTGGGTACCTGGGACCTCACTGTGTGAAGGTTATCTTAGGTAAGACTCAACTGACGAGTTGTTTTTCACTGACTTAAGCACTGTTCACCACTATTCAACACTGGTTCCATTCCTTTCCCAAATGAAATAGTAACTTCTGGCGATAACTTGTTGATATTCCGGTGGGGAGGAGGGTTCAGGGGAGGGAGTTGGTATGGGCCAACAGAGCAGTTGACGTGGCTGCTGCTGAGCAGCGCCAGGTGCGTCTGACCCGTCTTGACCCGTCGGTGGTCAAGGATGAAGTGTGTGTGTGTGTGTGTGTGTGTGGTAACTAAGGTTGATTAACAAGACGTAAGTGCTTCACATAGGAGAGAGGATCATTTCAACAGAGTCACAGTACAGAAGTGAGATCGGCAAGGAGTGAACACACAAGTTATGTCCGAGTTGTTGATTTTCTGCGATGGTTGAGAAGGGGCTGTTCTTATAGTGATCAGTATCTGGTCCTATATTGGGGCTGGGTCTGGTGGTGGTGTCGAACAGCAATTAGCGGACAAGGGATCTCTAGTGGCAGCAGGAGTTGGTAGCGAGGGTGGTGTAGCAGTTTCATCCCAAACTGACAGATGAGGTCATGGTGGTGATCAGAGGGCCATCGGAGTGAGTGCCTCTTGATATGTGGTGTAAGAGAGCAAGAGAATAGTCTTGCACGGCCTCTTCTGTACTCCCACTTGAAGTCCTCGCTGTGTACCAGAGAAGGAGGAAAGCCAAGCGTAGTTGAGGTTAGTAAGTATGAATGTTGCGTAAACATCGAAGAGCTCAGGAGCGGGAACTCAGAGTGACTTGAGATGACGGAGGATGTAAAGATTTTCCGATTGTACTGACGTGCGCTTTACTGTACAGTTCAGTTAGTTGTCTTTAGTGACGCCGAGGAGCTTGGTGGAGTCCACAACCTGGTGTGTGTTGGTGCTCACTGTGGTGGGAGAGGTGTGGGTGATGGTGGGCCAGTAGTGGACACTGTTCAGTAGGTTCTGAAGGGCGCTATAAACTGATGCCAGCGGGTAGAAGCGGTATATTTTACGTCTTTGTTGATGAGGATGAAGAAGCAGTGTGGTGCCATCCTGGTGCCTTGGGGGACGCCGCAGGTGAGTGCCTGTATGGTGTAGACAGCCCCTCGGAAGCAAACAGCCTAGCGTCGGTCACTAAGGCAGCCTTGGTATGAGGCAACTCCGAGACCCAAGGTCAATAACTGTTGAGAATTTTGTTGTGATTGACCAAGTTAAATATTTTGATGATGTTCATGAATGCAAGAGTCACAGGGTGTGTGTGTGTGTGTGTGTGTGTGTGTGTGTGTGTGTGTGTGTGCACAATAAATTAAAAGAAAAACAAAACAAACAAATAAAACACATCTCTCTCACTAACATTAACAAACACAGTAATACAGTAATCTGGCGAGTCAAGAAAGTGTCTGGAGAAGTGGTGGGATGCTTACAGACACAAGAGGTATACCTAGTAAACACACACACACACACACACACACACACACACACACACACACACACACACACACACACACACACACACACACATACACACACACACACACACACACACACACCTTCCTCAAGCTAACGTGAAATTCCTGACTATTTTAATGATTATGTGAAATTTCGAGTAACATAGATGCTGTAACATAGATCTGTGAGAGTAAATATTATGACAGCTTATACTATGGACCGTGTGTGTGTGTGTGTGTGTTGAGGCATACAGTAAACCCTCTCAATAGCGTACTTCTCATTCGTGGATATTTTCATTAACAGAATCCTCCCAATTATGGAGAGGGCTTGCAAAAAAATTAGTCCGGTATTGGGAGGGTTTACTGTATATATAAACAGTAACCACTTTAAATTTAGTTCCAAAATGTGTTGAATTCTGAGCTGCAACCAGACCTGTACACTGTAAGAGGGATTATGTGTGTGTGTGTGTGTGTGTGTGTGTGTGTGTGTGTGTGTGTGTGTGTGTGTGTGCGTGTATAAAGGACCCGAGCACACAATACCATACGACAGGACATTGTTTTTTCGCGGTGCATTGTGGGAGGAGCAGCAAAACAAGGTTAAAATAAGCTGTTTTATCCATAAGCTGGTGTTATTTAAGCTTACCAAAGAACGAGTTTGATCTAAGTTTAAATTAACTTGATTTATGATTAACTTGAGGAGATTCATTGAGTGATCATCCTCACGACTGATCAACCTCACGACTGATCAACCTCACGACTGATCAACCTCACGACTGATCAACCTCACGACTGATCAACCTCACGACTGATCAACCTCACGACTGATCAACCTCACGACTGATCAACCTCACGACTGATCAAATCCGTGTATGACACTAAGAGTTCTGTGTTGAACCTGACCAAACTTGTCTTATTACAACCACCTCCTGAACAATGGTCCCCACCAGCTTATATCACCCTATGATTAACCACTCTAACCTAACCTAACCTAACCTAACCTAACCTAACCTAACCTAACCTAACCTAACCTAACCTAACCTAACCTAACGCTAACTTAACCAAACCTAACCTAGCCAAACCTAGACTAACGTTACAGCTGAGAAGATTGAAGGTGTCAGGTACAGTGGCTACTCTACAGAAGCCTTGTAAACAGTGTGTTGTATAAGCACTTCCTCAAACAAGTCGCAACTGTCATAAGGGTCAATTTCCATTTTTTTTTTCATAGTTTTTTATTTTTTAATCACCTGGTCAACAGCTCCACTATGTACATTATATAGGTTGACCGATATATATTTTATGGGAATATTATAGAGAATGTAAAGTATATAGCTAAGGTGTGTGTGTGTGTGTATGTCTCCTTTCCTTCCTGTCCGATTCCCTTCCTTCCTTCCTGCCAACCAACCAGCCTGCCAGCTTCCCTTCCTGTCTTCCTCCATTCCACCCTTCTTGCCAGCCACTCTCCCTTCCACCCTTCCGGCCTACCAACCTACCTGGCCCCCCCCCCTCAACCTGCCTGCAGCCTGCCAGCTACAACATAGCCTCGGTAACAAACTCTCCCCATTTTTCAGTCATGAATTTTTTAGTTGTTGGCAATATTGTTTTTATTGTTTATAAACTCGTTGTGGGGAGTAAACATGGTGACACAGATGTTTACGTTTGTTTTATATGGATAGTGAATTAGTCAGGTGTGATCTAATGTTGACTACGTGGATAATATAACTTAAAGTATTACAGAGATTGGCAGAAATATCCATAAATGTACAGTAATACGCAGAAATACGTAGAAATACACATAAATCTGAAGAAAACATTTACAAAAATATGCAGAAATATACAGAAATACGCAGAAATACGATGAAATGCGCAATACACAAAAAGTTAATGACAAGTTTATACACTAACTAAACCTAAACTAACAAACCCAACCCAACAGAACTAATCTCAACCAACTCAACCCAAACCAAACTAACCTAAAACCAATCCAAATCAAAGCAACAGAACCAATCCCAACTAACCTAAAACCAACCTAACCCAACCTAAAACCAACCTAACCCAACTTAAAACCAACCTAACCCAACCTAAAACCAACCTAACCCAACCCAAAGCCCTAAACACTGACACACGGAAATAAAGTTACTAAAATATTAAACTTTACAGCATCCAGCGTTACGACAGCAGGCAAGATGCTAACTTAAGCCGCCACCGCCCCACCATCTCCACCACCTCTGCCCCTGCCCTGCTCCCCTGCCCTGCCCAGCACCCCACCATCTCCACCACCCTCCACCCCGCCCCGTTCCACCTCGCACCACCGTCCCGCCCCGCCAAGGTAACAAGAGAAGACAGGTGTGCACGGTTCCCACGGCAATGAGTTATACTGCACCTCAGTCCGCCTCCCGTCTCGGACTTTATACCAGGAAAGGCAACTACCTGCATCTGTGGGAGCCGTGTGCTGGGAGGAGAGAGAGAGAGAGAGAGAGAGAGAGAGAGAGAGAGTCACTTACCCATCTGTCAGGCCGTCGGTTAAACAGCTCAGGGAACTATTACTCCTTCTCTGCACTCCAACCTCACACTTCGAGCCTCCTTCGCACTCCAACCTCACGCTCGAGCCTCCTTCTCGACCTGAACCTCACCCCCTGAGCCTCCTCTCGCACCTCCCCCAGGCCTCACCCCTGAGCCTCCCTCGCACTCCAGCCTCACCTCGATTTTTCAACCTCACCCTCGAGCCCCCTCTGCACTCCAACCTCACCCTCGAGCCTCCCCTCTCGCACCTCAGCCTCACCCTCGAGCCTCCCTCTGCACTCCAGCCTCACCCCTCGAGCCTCCTTCTGCACTCCAACCTCACCCTCGAGCCTCCCTCGCACTCCAGCCTCACCTCGAGCCTCCCTCCTGCACTCCAGCTCACTCCCCGAGCCTCCCTCTGCACTCCAGCCTCACCTCGAGCCTCCCTCCTCGCACCCAGCTCCACCCGAGCCTCCCTCTGCACTCCAGGCCTCACACCTCGGGAGAGCCTCCCTCCTCACCCAGCCTCACCCCGAGCCTTTTTCTCACTCCAACCTTACCCCGGGAGCTCCCTCTCGCACTCCAACCTCACCATCGAGCCTCCCTCTCGCACTCCAACCTCACCTTCGAGCCTCCCTCTCGCACTCCAGCCTCACCCTCAAGCCTTTTTCTCGCACTCCAACCTCACCCTCGAGCCTCCCTCTCGCACTCCAGCCTCACCCTCGAGCCATTCACTCTCCACTTGTCCTCACACTTGACTTGCTCGCTATGATGGAACAGTTCACCGCTGCAGTCAAGCTCTCTCTCTCTTTCTCTCTGTTTTTCTTCTTCTGTACTTAGCCTCCATTTTCTCCTCCTCCTTCTCCCCCTCTTCTCCTTCTCCTCCCTCCTCCCCTTCCTCGTCCTCCTCCCTCCTCTTCCTCCTCCCCTTCCTCGTCCTCCCCCCTCCCCGTCTTCCTCCAGGTGTCATAAACAAAGTCGTCGACGCTCTTCATCTAATCACTCCCTTCATTATCCTCACCCTCTCCTCCTCTTCCTCCTCTACCTCTTCCTCCCGCCTCCTCTTCCTCTCGCCTCCTCCTCCTCCTTCGTTCTACCTTATCCTCCTCCTCTATCTCTTCCTCCCTCCTCCTTACACAAGAAGAAGAAAGTGACAGGTAATGGACAGGTGTTGAACAGGTGAGGGACAGGTATTGAACAGGTAATGGACAGGTGTTGAATAGGTGAGGGGCAGGTATTGAACAGGTAATGAACAGGTGGTGAACAGGTAATGGACAGGTGCTGAACAGGTAATGAACAGGTGTTGAACAGGTGAGGGACAGATGTTGAACAGGTGTTGCAGACGTGAGGGACAGGTAAACACATCAATCAAACAGGTAATGAGATTGCTTGACACTTTTTACCTACTGATCATCACCTTTAATCTGAGCTAAACTTTTCCATTTCATTATTAACATCAGTTTTTGTCCTCTTCATTGATCTATTGTTACCTGTAATCTGCGTCTCATTACACTGTTGTTACCTGTAATCTGCGTCTCATTACACTGCTGTTACCTGTAATCTGCGTCCCATTACACTGTTGTTACCTGTAATCTGCGTCTCATTACACTGTTGTTACCTGTAATCTGCGTCTCATTACACTGTTGTTACCTGTAATCTGCGTCCCATTACACTGTTGTTACCTGTAATCTGCGTCTTATTACACTGTTGTTACCTGTAATCTGCGTCCCATTACACTGTTGTTACCTGTACTCTGCGTCTCGTTACAGAATATCTCATATACGTTATAGAAACACGTTACAGTAGAGCCAAAGTGAAGACTATAGGGTGAAGATTGATGCAGTGTCTCTCAGATCTTTACTCACACACTTTACTCAAACACACTTCATGTCTCGTGGCCTGGAAGAGGAGTGTACACTTCCCCTCCTTCCATCCTCTCCTCTCTCCCTCATTTCCCTTCCCCCTCCCCTCTTCCATTTCTCCTCTTCCCTTCTCTCCCTCTTCCCCCTCCCCCCGGCGATGACCCAGTTCCCTACCGTAAACTGGGTCTGCATTTTGCTTGCTTACTTTACAATTCAGTCCACCTTCTCTCCTTAAGCCTCTCTCACTGTCTGTATGTCTGTGTGTCTGGTCTAACAGCCTCCCTCACTGTCTGTAGGTGGCTGTTAACACACAATTTCCTCTCTGGGTCATGTCAGGCGAGAGTATTAAATTGCTGTGGTCTATTTTGGCACTTTTATGCTGAAGGAAATTGTGGTGGGTGTACAGTGGTGGTAATGGTGTCAACATTATTCATGACAAGTGTTGATGTAGACTTGACAGTTCATGTGACGTGACTGTTCATGTGACGTGACAGTGCATATGACGTGACAGTTCATGTGACGTGTCAGTGCATATGACGTGACAGTGCATGTGACGTGACAGTGCATATGACGTGACAGTGCATGTGACGTGACAGTTCATGTGATGTGACAGTTCATGTGACGTGACAGTGCATGTGACATGACAGTGCATGTGACGTGACAGTGCATATGACGTGACTGCATGTGACGTGACAGTTCATGTAACGTGACAGGATGTTAAGACACGAGACCTTGGGATGGTTCAGACCTTGTTGACATCATCGTGGCTCTGTTATTGTGGGTGTTTCCCTTCACTCTTAACAACTCCATCCTGGGGACAGTTGGAGGTAATTTTACTTATTCAGGACATAAACTGTTATTACTGTAAGTTGGAAACGAGGGAACACCTGAAGATTAGCCACCCTAACTTATTTTACTTTAAGATTAACCATTTTAACATTAACCTAACTAAACCTGATCTAACCTAGCATAACTTATCCTTACTTAACCCAACCTAACCTAACCAAAGCCTAACTTATTTTACTTTAAGATTAACCATTCTAACATTAACCTAACTTAACCTGATCTAACCTAACATAATTTAACCTAACCTAATTATCCAGGTTAATTAGCGAGTCAATTACCACACCTGCTCAGTCCTAATTATTTTCGGGGATGATATGACCCCGTTGGTGGCTGATGGGGTGTTGTAACAGGGCGGACACAAATGATACCCTTATCTCTACTCCTTCACCCTCTTTAACCCCCCTCATAAACCTCCCCATATCTCTCACCTCTTATCATCTCCTCCTCCTACTCAACCCACCTCATCCCCCTCCCTCCTCCCTCTCCTCTCCTCCCTCACTCTCTCTCCCTTCCCATCCCAACCCTTCTCATCTCCCCCTCTCCCTTCATCTCCCCCACCCTACATCATCACCTCTCCTCCCATTCCCTACTACCTCCTCACCTCCTCCCTCCCCCCCTCACCTCTCCCTCTCCCCACCTCTCTCCTCCTTGCCTCACCATTCACACGCTCCCCACACCTCCCCACAGCGTCTCCACCATCTTGCTTCTCCTGGCACAAATAAGGAGACAGAAATGAGGTGTGGTGGTCGCTGGGCAATACAAGGGAAGGCCCCACACGATTACAAATACCCAACTTAAACCGGACCAGGAGAAGCGTGTAGAATGTGACCTATATTAGCTAGCGTTAGATGAGGATCTATATAGTCTATTGTTATATCAGAACCTCCTATAGTAGCTAGCATTATAGTAGCATCTTCTATATTAGCTAGTAGTGACAATCTCGGCAAATTGATCAAGTGTTGCCATGGAAACAGTTTCAGAGGTCAAAGAAAACGGTGATATGAGACAGTCTCCAGCCGTGACAGAAGTGATTTGACACGACACACTGCCTCACTAACACGACACACTGCCTCACTATCACGACACACTGCCTCACTAACACGACACACTACCTCACCACGACACACTGCCTCACTAACACGACACACTGCCTCACTAACACGATGCACTGCTCACTAACACGCACTGCCTTACTTAACACGACACACTGCCTCACTAACACGACACACTGCCTCACTAACACGACACACTGCCTCACTAACACGACACACTGCCTCACTAACACGACACACTACCGAAAGTAACATCAAAGCAAACTAAAAATAAAAATAAAAAGTGTTATTTTTCCCAGTTCATCAGTGCCAACTTCCGCCTTGTCTCTTCCTAAATAAAAGAGTTTTAGTCTTTTAACTCCCAGTAGTTTTAAACACTCACTTCCCGTCGGCAGGGGATCGTCCTGTTGACAACCAGAGTTTTAAAAAATCTAGAGTCGGAAAGGACGCCACATTACAGCGCTCGACGGGGAGGTGTGGCGGTAAAACGAACTAACTCCAGTATCATTAGTTCGTTTTACCGCTACACCTCCCCGTCCAGCGCTGTAGTGCGGTGTCCGTCCCGACTCTGGTTGTCAACAAGGACGGTTCCCGCCGATGGAAAGGAGTATTTAAAACTACTTGGGTGGGAGGGGGGAGGTTAAACTCACAAGCACACAGGGAGACCTTCTAGAACACCTGTACGAAGCTTTTACAAGTAGCAAGAAGCTCCATGTTATCCTCCAACCCACTTGGTTGTCTTTGAAAAATGATTCATTGGGTGTTTTGACATCTCAGATCCTCTTGCGGTGTCTAATAAGAAGTCCCCCTCCCCCCGCACCTTCCTCACTCCTACATGATGATCCCGTGATTTATATACAGCACCAGTCACTACTTAGCATAAATGAATAGGAATTAAGCCGCTCCCTCAGCAGGCATTACCATGACTTAGTGAGCCAATGGTTCTCTTGTCTAATTCTTCCCCTATACCCAGGCTGCGTCTTGGCTGGTTGGCGGAGGTGAACTTGACGTAAGATTAGTTCTAACTCAAACTGAAGTTCTATTTGGGTTAAAAATGTATTAGAGCAACCTAACCTAACCTCACCTAACCTAACCTTACCTACTGATCTCTCCCTATTGTAATCTCACCCTAATCTAATCTAACCTAACCTAACCTACTCTCACCCAAATTAACCTAACCTAATTTGATTAACCTAACATAACGTCATCCTAACCTAACTAACACTTCAACAACTGATGCAACATCTATCAGAGATCATGAAGAGAAAAGTAAAGGTAGCACAGGTGGCGGGCAAATCAAACTGGCTAACAACTTTACCGATAAGAACAAAGGCTTCAGTCTCAACAAACAAGAATTTACAGTTGGCCAGTGGAGGGCATGGCCGCCCAATGCATGTGTAGAACATCTTACGACATCGACCATGTTATGAAGTTCAAGAAGAGAGGTTTCGTTTGCATGAGGCAGGACGTAGTAAGGGACCTCACAGCAAATATATCAAAGGAGATATGCCGTGACGTCACGGTGAAACCGACCTTCCTTCCACTACGGCGAGCATTTTAACCACAGGAGTGTCAACACAACAAACGATGCCCGGGTGTATGTTTGTGTGCGAGGATTCTGAACGAGGGGACAGTGAGACTTCTTTGAAATCAGGATATTCGACCCCCTTGCCGCATATCACCACGACTTGTCTCTCGATGCTGCACATGGGAGGAACGAAAACGAAATGAACAGAGCGTTTGAACAGAGAATCAAGAACGTGGACCAGGGCAGCTTCACTCCTCTTGTGTTCACAACATCAGGTGGGATGGGACCAAGTGTAAGATGCTTCCACGCTAGGCTGGCCGAGGTGTTGTCTGTGCAGAAGCAGCAGCCCGGAAGCTACGTTGCAGGCTGATTGAAATGTCCTTCTCTCTGCTTAAGTATGCATTGCTTTGCCTTGGGGAACGAGATCTTCGGCCCCCAACAACAGTCACTGAACGCCGCATAGATCTGCG